CTCATGTTAGCTTCTCCAGTAGCTGGGAGCACAAGTGCTTGTCACATGCCCAGGTAATTTATTCATCCGTTTTAGAGATGAGGTCTTGCTATGTTGCCTAGTCTGGTCTCAAATTCCTGGCTTCAAGTGATCCTCCCTCCTCAGCCTCCCCAAGTACTGGGATTACTGACTTGAGCCACCATGCCTGGCTGGGAAGTCGAATTTCAATCTCTCATTTTAACTAATTAATTTAATGTTTATTTGAAAATAAAAGTTTGAATAAAACTTCCATTGCCTTTTATTTTCTTATGTACAATGTTTCTAGTACTAGGTTCATTTTCTAAAAGTTTCAAAGTCACTGCTTTTGACTTCTGCATATATTTTGCAAAACTTTTTAGTGGCAGGGTTAAGAAGAGGTGTTGGTGAAATAATCCATGTAAAAATATGTTTGTTATATAATGGAAGGAAGGAATGTGGAAAGTGTGGCAGAGTTATAGTGGGTGGAAGTATTTTAGCACTTTGCTTATGTGAAAGAATATATCTTATGTAAATATAAAAGTGGCTAAAATTGCTTGATAAAATATTATCTTTTCAGGTTGGGGTTAACCATAGGCACAATGGTAAATTGTTTTTCTTTAGTACTCCAATTTTCTTGATATTCTACCAACAATTCCCTTCCTTCCTTTGAATTATTTTGCAAAAGCATCACCCTATGTGAATATGTTCATATTTTCAACATTTGATCCACTCTAAGTATAAAGTCATGGAATGTAATATCTTTCTCTTGTGTATCTTCCCTTTTCCCATACTTTTTCTCGACAGCCCTGGTCTTTACATCTTTCTCATTTGAATCTTTTGTCCTCTCTCCCCCTAATTCTTTCTTCTGTTCTGGAAAAGGACAAGACAGAGATAAAGGGAAAGGTGGAAATAAATGCCTGTGACAGAAGTAGGTCAAACAGAATAGATTTTATCAAATCTTGGCACATTCTAAATATGGGACATCTGATCCCTAAAAGGAATAGAAAATATTCACAGATTAATGCTTTTTCCCTTAACTGAATCTCTTATCTATCTTTTCTCTTTACGTTAGCAAAAATAAAGGACATAGAAAAATTTAAAGAAAATAGCAAAACTGGAAGGTTGGTAATTTTGATGTATTTATCGCATTATGTTTGTGCGCTTCCTCTTTTGCATTTCAAAGTCCTTGAAATCCAATGACCTTATTTTTGCTATGAATACACACACACACAAACACACACAGTGTTTAACACTTTCTATATATACTTTCTTTGAGCCTCTTTTCGTAAATCCTTTGGTCTAACAGACTATGCAACACCTTTCTCCATTGGGTTCTGCTACTAACCATTTAATGTTACTCTTGTCTTTCCCAATGGACAGTTGAGTCCATTTGAGACCTTTGAGTCTGAAGTGTATTTTTGCTACTCATAGTGGTTTTTCCTGCCTTGAAGACTTTGCCAGTTTTTCTCTGCAAATTACCTTTTACTTCTTCTTCAAGGTATGGCTCAAGTCCCATTTCCTCTATGAAGTTTAAAATTTTCTGTAATTACATTCCATTTATGCACTATGTAGCTGCACATCTGTGATAGGCTGAGTCATGGCCCCCCAAAGATGTCCACATTCAGGTCCTTGGAATCTGTGAATGCTACCTTACATGGCAAAAGGAACTTTGCAGATGTGATTATATTCAGGACCTTGAGATAGGAAGATTATCCTGTATTATGCATGTGGGCTCAATGTAATCATAAGGGTCCTTATATAAGGATAGGAGGATAAGAATGAGAGAGGGGAAGGTGATGTGACCATGGAAAAGGAGAGAAAAGGACAAATGATGGGGGTCATGAGCCAAAGAGAGCTGCAGTTTCCTATAAACTGGAAAAGGCAAATTCCAGGAAAGCAGATTCTTCCCTAGAGCCTCCAGAAATAAGCAGCTGTGTTGACACCTTTAGCCCCTGGAGCCTGACTTCAGGCTTCTAAGCTCCAGAATTGTAGATAATTGTGTTGCCAAATTTGTGGTAATTTGTTACAGCAGCTAACAGGACAACACATCCTTTACATTCCTCTAGGTCTGCTCCACATAATTTAGCACTTTGTTTTCATGCTCACTAATTCTACCTACCATACATAAATGGTAGAATATAAATTCCTTGTGGACAGGATTCTTTATTTTCCCCTTTTTATTTTTATTCCCCTACAATCCCTAGTCCAATTCTAGATATTCAGATGTTTGGAGTGAATTTTACATTAGAAAAAGGGAATGGGGGAGATGAAAGACATTTTGAAAGACATACAATTCAACAAATTGTGTTTATTTCCTTGCAAATTCCAATACTTTGTTTTTTAGCTCTGTGCCACATACAGTGTTCTGTTACATGCATAGCAGTCATTCAATGGAAATTGGAACACAGAGGGTATTCAACAAGCACTTGATGCATTGAGCTGACATCTGTAGGGGTGAAGAAGGTAAAGGAGAAAGAGAAAAGCAAGATGAGTCTAGTAGAAAGTCCTTCATGTCTATTTAGCTGATTTTTCAGATTAAGTAAAGTTAAAATGCTGAAAAAGAACACTGATCAAAAAAAATTTTTTTGAGTCATAGTCTCACTCTGTCGTCCAGGCTGAAGTGAAGTGGTAAACTCACGGCTACCACACTCTCGACCTGCTGGGCTTCTAAGTAGCTGGAACGACAGGTGTGCGCTCCCACATTCACCAAATTTTTAACACAACTTTTTCCTGTACAGCAAAATAGAAGATGAATAAAAATAGGCAGAGTTTAAGTTTAATTTCATATATTGAGTTTAAATAACCAGCATTCTTAAGTCCATGTAATATGCTTAATACTGTACCAAGAGACAAAATGATATAGACAACCCATAGGATACAGGTCTAAAGGGCCTCACTAACTACTTGGGAGATAAGACTAACAACCAAGGTTACCAGCAGTTTATCAAGTTCCATATTGTGTGACTCAGACTCTAAAGATTATAGATATTTGGAATTAGAGGTTAGAGAATCAATATCCCATTTATTCACTAAGTATTTATTGAGGCCCTATTATGGTCCTTTGTGAATAAGAGTGTATGTTTGGAGTTTGCAATCCAATAGAGGAAAACAAGAATGGATTAGATACTAAGTAGTAGAGGGATGCTTTGTAGTTAATAAAAGGTTATTACTGTAACTTCTGAATGAAGAGAGAAGTTGGATTGTGAATGATTTGAAAGTAAAGCTATTATTTAGGTTAAGCCTTGAAAGATAAGTAGAATTTTGAAAAGAATAGGATATTCCAGGTTGAAGTAGGAACACCGAAGACATGAAAGGACAGTTTTAGGAAAATGCTCAGATAGAATAAAAGATGCTTCCACTCCATCTTGTCTGTCCTCCCCTCCCCACCCAGTTTCATGTTTTTGACTGAGCTGTCTGCATGGTTCTAATACATGTTCCTTTTATGACATTTCAGGAATTTCCTGACAAAAAGGATGTCCTATATCTGGTGTTGGGCAAATCCTAGGAACTTACACCTTCCCTATATTAACCTATGTGAGCAACTGTCAACTTATTGAGGGGGGAAATTGTCTAGAAATTTGGGGTCACATCAAGTATATTTTGTTTTATGCAAGTATATCTGGTTTAATAAAAATAATTCCAATAAAATATCCAAGAAAATAAATAAATAGATAAAAGAATAAAGGATGCTTAAAGAGTAGTACATTATTATTGCTGCAATAACAAATTACATACACTTAAGATACAAATTTATCATCTTACAGTTCCATATAGGTCAGAAGTCCAACAATGACCTTACCAGGATAAAATCAAGGTGGGCAGGGATGCACTGCATTAGAAAGGCCTTGAGGGGTGGGGGGGGACATCTGTTTCCTTCCTGTTCTAGCTTCCAGGGGTGACCCACAATGCTGGCTAGAGGTTCCCTCCCTCTAGCTTCAAAGTCAACAATTGTCTCTCTCTAATCATTTTTCATAGTCACATCTTCCTCTAGTCTCTTTTGCCTCCCTCTTTCAGTTTTGAAGGCCCACTGTGATTACAATGGGCACACTTGAATAATCCTGAATAATCTCCCTATTTTAATGTCAGATAATTAGCAACCTTAACTACCCTTAACCTTAACTACTAAGCTACCTAATATATTCACAGCTTCTGGTTTTTGGGCTGTGGACATCTTTCAGGGGCCCACCACGGGTAGTAAAGAGGAGTTAATATTAGAAGAAAAGAGGCCCAAAGAGGAGGGGTGTGAATGCATTGATAAGGGCAATGGGGAGCCACTGTAACTTTATGAGGCTTAACATAAATGCTTATTTTTTTGAAGACAGCTTTGGCTGCAGCACAGAAAATTGTTTGAACAGGCAAAAGTGGGGAGCAACATTAGGAGGCCACCACAACCGTTAAGATGAGAGGGTCTAAGGTAGGGAATACACAGCTGATCGTTTTGCTCCAATGCTGCCTTTGCTCATTTCTATGTGTTTTCCATTAGAATTCATGACATCATTCCACAGGATCTCAGCAAGTGCAGTTTCTGGTAATGTGGCCGAATTTGTTCAGTAGATACTGCAGTGGAGCCTCAAATTACTCATCTACAATAAACAAGGGGAGACCCGGATCTCCCTTTGCAAAGTCCTGATTAGCAAGACTGAGGCTTACAGAGAGCTAGGCATCGAATTTCTTAATGTTCCAAAGCGCAGGAATGTATAAAGTCCCTGTTTGTAAGGTTTTCCCTTAATGCGGAGACATGGAAAAGCCGTGCCGCGCATCAGGGCTGAAGACCCGTTTTCTACCCAGCCTCGGAAAACCAAGCCTTACTGCTGGCCCGCGTCTGACAGGGACAGCGCTCTTCGGTCTTCGCGAACCACCCGGAGCAGCCCAAACCCACCGCATCCTCCGGCTCCCACCAATTGGGTCGCAGGGACCCGAGCCCTGCACCGCCAAGTCTACAGACAACTAGTTCGGAGACAACTACGATGACAGCACCGGTACCCGGTAGTACTAAGGGGGAAAAGGACCCGACCCTCGGTCACGTGACTCGAGTCCGCCGAATTCCGCCTCCGTCACTTCCGGGTGCGACTGCAGCCTCTGTCCAGCCGGGCGCGGAAGTCCTTGGGTGCCTTCTTGTTGAGTCTGACGGTTTACACGACTGCCCCTTTCCTGCTCCCAGTGGGAGGGACATGAGTGTCCCTGGGCCGTTGCCTCCGAATGGGGTCCTGACAAGGCCACCCGACAGCCTGGAGCCCGGGGAGCCGACGCCAGGTACGTCCTGTCGGGTGGGACTGGTGGCCGAGGCTGGGTGAGACGGGCCCGGACCTGAGTGGGCGGGACTCCAGAGCCACCCCGAGGGAGCGAGCTGCTTTCCGCAGTTGCGGCCCCGGGGCTCTGCCCCACCGCGCGGAAGTGGGTGTGGGGAACTGCGCCGGCCTCCCTGCCTAGAGGAATGGGCGGGAGCCGAAGTCCCAGGGAGAGCGGTGTGGTGGGGTGCGTTTGGAGATGGTTGGTTGTGAAGTCATTCGGAGTTTATGTATTGACTGTGGCACATCGTTGGCTATTTGTCCTACAGTAGTGGTTGGGGATGAATCTACTAGAAGGAAAACAGGTTTATGATTCAGAGAAGTGATGGATCCAGTGTCATTGACTACCCACTCATGAAATGCTCTGGTTTGCTTGGTGACATTACTTCATTTCTATACCTCCAGAAGAGATTTAAGTCCTCATACCCCAAGGCAGCCATTGATTGGCATAAATTAACTTGCTCTGCACCCAAGATAGTAGTATTTATGTATTATTTTGGGAAAATTGAGAAAAGAGTCACTCAAAACATTTTCTGTGTTTCCTGGTTCAGATGAGGAACTCTGGATGAGAAAGGCTATGCAGGACTTTGGGCCTGCCTTTTCTTTTACTTCTTGATTCAGAAATGTAGGGGTTACCCCCAGATAGTGCTCTCAGCACTTTCCTGGTCATGCTTTTCCTCAACGATCTCCTCCTCTTCACTCTTCATAAGGCGCTTCTATAAATATGACTTCCTTGTGTATACTAGTATTTGCAACTCGGTCTCCTAACTCTTGCTGGTCCTTTAATCTGCTTGCTGGGTACTTTGACATTGTTGTTCGCACTAATCTCACATAAGGCATAAAAACATGTCTCACATAAAAACATGTCTGATCCTGTTAGTGCCAAATCACACTGACCTGATACTTTGAAGTTACTTTGGACTCTTTCTTCTCTGTTTCCATTTCTGTTTAATCTAGGGTAGTGGTCCCCAGCCTTTTTGGCATCAGGGACTGGTTTTGTGGAAGACGGTTTTTCAACCATGGGCGTGGGGGTGGGGGAAATGTGCGGTCAAACCTCACTGCTATTGTTAATCTGTATTTGCAGCCGCTCTCCAGCTCTAGCATTACCACCTCAGCTCCACCTCAGATGATCAGGCATTAGATTCTCATAAGGAGTGGGCAACCTAGATTCTTCATATGTGCAGTTTACAATTTGTGCTGCTATGAGAATCTAATGCTGTCACTGATCTGATAGCAGACGGAGCTCAGACAGTAATGCGGAGGTGGGGAACAGCTGTAAATACAGGTGAAGCTTTACTTGCTTGCCTGCTGTGGCCCCTTGTTCCTAACAGGTCATGGACTGGTACTGGTTCGTGGCCTGGTGGTTGGGGACCTTGATATATAGAGGGTGCTAAAAAACTGTATACGCATTTTAAGAAAGGAAAAAATTTGTATTAAAATGGCAATACTCAATATATACCTATAACAAAAGATGAATACAAGTCACGTTTGCCTTCTGCAATTATACATTGCTACCATAATTCATTTCAACTTTGAAGAGTAATACATAGATAACATCTCTTAAATGTGTATACATTTTTTTGGCACCCGACACATGGTAATGAAAGACATGAGACTAGATGAGATTCTCGAGGGAGAAAATGTAGACAGAGTCTAAGAGAAAGAGCCAATGACTGAGCCCTGGAGCACTCTCATGTCTAAAGTCAGAGAGACAGGAGGAACGGGCAAAGGAGACTGATACCAGTTTATGGCCCGGGGTTGGGGACCCCTGATCCAGGGGATTCTACTTTATCATGTCTATCTCCTTTTTGTAGTTTCTTCCTTAACATGGCATTTGTAAAGCAAGGCCACTCCATTCTCTTGCTCCTTCAACCCATCTATCCTACTGCTGTCTTACCACTGCCACAAAATGAAGCTCCAGTCACAAAATTCCTGTGCTCAGAAATCTTAAATGACTCTTCATGATTTACTAACAAAAGTCCAAATCCATTGACTTATCATTCTAGGACCCTTACAGGCTGGCCACATGGTCTTACAGCTTACTACAGTGCTGTTATGCTGCGTATGCTCCTTGCTCCAGTCACCTCAAAGTATCTCCCTTTTCAGAGAGGTCCTATAAGGTATTTCCACCTTTCTTCAGTCTGCTTCCTTTACCCATCTTGCATCCCTTGCACTCCTGCCATAGATTTCTTCCCCATTTGGAAATAGTCCACAGATTGTTGGTGGGAGTGTAAATTGGTGCTATTTCTTAGGAGGGCAGTTTTGCAACGTCTATTTAAAAATGCACAAACCCTTTATCCCAATAGTTTACTAAGAGTTTATCCTACAGAAACAGTGACACTAATATGCAAAGATAAGCAAGGAAGCTCACTGCAGCATTGTTTGAAATAGCAAAAAGTGGAAATAACTTAAATAACTCACCTATAGTGGACTGGCTAAACAAACAATAGTAGAATTGTATTCTGTTAAAAAGAATGTAGTAGATCCATATATGTTGATATGGAAAGATATCTAAAGCACATATTTAAAATGTTGCAGAATGTTATTAGTAATATTTCATTTGTAATAAAACAGTATATGTATAGATATGCAAAGACAATTTTTGGAAGGCTTTGTAAGAAACTTGAGAGTGATTCCTGCTGGAGTTAGGGGGTGAGAAGGAGTATTTTTACTTTTCAGTTTGTGCTCCATCTCTGTAGTGTTTAAAATTTTTTTTTTTTGAGTTGGAGTCTCACTCTGTCACCCAGACTGTAGTGCAGTGGCACGCTCCTGGCCACCGCAGCCTCGACCTGCTGTGCTCCTGTGATCCTTCCGCCTCAGCCTTCCAAGTAGCCGGAACTACAGGCACACCCGACCACGCCCGGCTAGTTTTTGATTTATTGTAGAGACGAGGTCTCACCAAATTGCCCAGGCGGGTCTTGAACCCGCGGGCTCAGGCAATCCACTCGCCTCGGCCTCCCAAAGTGCTGGGATTATAGGCTGAGTAACTGAGCCCGGCCTATGTTTTAAATTTTTTTTTTTTTTTTTGAGTTGGAGTCTCACTCGGTTGCCCAGACTGGAGTGCAGTGGCTGCTCCCGGCCACCGCAGCCTTGCCTGCTGGGCTCCGACGATCCTTCCGCTTCAGCCTTCTGAGTAGCTGGAATTGCGCTACCATGCCTGGCTGATTTTTTTTAAATTTATTGTAGACATGAGGTCTCGCTGTCCAGGCGGATCTTGAACCCGCGGGCTCAGGCAATCCACTCACCTCAGCCTCCCAAAGTCGCAGGATTACAGGCTGAGCCATCGAGCCCGGCTTGTTTTAAATTTTTATAGTGAATAACACCAAAGTAGGGGGAAAAAAAAAAAAGAAAGCTCAATCCATTCTTTGAGCCTCAACTCAGATGCCCATACTACCTGCAGGAATAATTCTCAGACTTCTTTAGTGAAAGTAATCTCTCCCCCCTGAATTTCCATATCATTTTCTGTTTCTCTAATGACACTTCTCATATTCTATGATTCTTCTGTATTGTGCCCTTCCAGGGATGGGGACTTTATTTATTGTTGTAACCTCAGAACCAGTGCACAATATAGATGTCCACTAAGTGTTTCTTAAATGAATAAAGTGAGGATGTTCCCTTTCTCCTTCTTTAATTTTCCAAAAGAAAGTACCTTGAATTTAGTAACTCAATGTATATAAAAACATGAGTAAGTGAGACTCATCCAATAATTCACCAGAAGATTGGGATGGGAGAAGAGGGTCTGTGAGTTAAAATGTATCTGTATTATAAATGAAGTGAATTAGTTGTCATTCCTTAATGTTGAAATGTCCTTTTATTTGAGTGTTTTTATCATAAAGCATAAAAAAATTATGTTTTCTAGCTGGGCATGGTGGCTCATTTTTGTAATCCTAGCATTTTGATTGACTGAAGTGGAGGATCATTTGAGATCAGGAATTTGAGACCAGCCTGGCAACATAGACACCCTATCTCTATATATATAAAAAAAAAAAAAAAAGCAGGATTTGGTGGCATATGCCGGCAATCCCAGCTATTTGGGAGGTTTAGGTGAGAGGATTCCTTGAGCCCAGGAGTTTGACGCTGCACTGAGCTGTGGTCGTGCCACTGCACTCCAGCCTGGGTGACACAGCGAGACCCTGTTCCTAAAATAAATAAATAAATAAATATGTTTTCTGTATTTTCTTAAAGAAAGTTGCTGTTTGTATTGTTACTGAAATCAGGCCTCAAGCAAATGGCATAATTGGCAGATGTAATTTATTCACCTCTTATTAAGTGGTACATCAGTGGCACAACCCTAAGTGCTCTACTTTACCCAATATGTTTTTACTTTATGTGTAGAGTGCTTCAGTTTCTAGTTAGCTCATACCTGTTGGAATGTCGCCTTACAACTGAAGTTTGTTCATGTGTTTCTCTGGGTTAAAATAAAAATTATATAATTTTATTTAGATTTTCAAAAAGCTTATTTTTAATGTGACAGCATGTTTTTTTCCTCAGTCTTGCCAAAGCTTAAGTCTGTGGCAAAAACTGTACCTATAAATGTACTATAAGCAGTGTGTTGTGATGAATGTATTCTAATATGGTGATCTAATTTGATGTTACTGATTATTACTAGACTATGATTGAAGAGAGATGTTTCAGAGTTTAATATTAATCAGTTTTAGAGTACAGTTTTAGTAAAGTGACCATCTCACTTTTTCCTCATTCTATGAGGGGAGACCCCCAAAAATCTGGAATTATTTTCTGGAGGGCAGGCTCCCCGTAGTATAGGCTTCTATTCTATAAGTTCTATTCTATAACTTACCCACTAGGTAAGTTTTCTAAGAACCCATTGACATCAGTGTACCAGCTAGTATTGTTGTGAGAGGCTGTGTTTGGCTTCAGTGAGGTTTTTTTGGTGATTCTTTCAATGCATTTGCCCATTTCATGATGGGTGATTTACGAGCGCACCTGCCCACACTGCACTGAGTGTGTTCAGCAGTTTTTGACCCCAAAATGGCATAACCCCCATGCCTCACCCTCCTATCCTCCTAACCTCATCCTGAGCAACTGTTTTTGTTTCCCTGGATAAAAAAGTCCTCAAATGGAAACATTTTGCCAATGTGGAAGAGGTGAAAAAAAATGGCAGAAGCACTAAAAGGCATCAAAATCGACAAGTTCAAAAACTGTTTTGAGCAGTTGAAAAAGTGTCTTAATAGGTGTATTACATCAAATGGGGAGTACTTTGAAGGTGACTGATGTTTAAACGTGTAAGAATAAATACACGATTTTTTATAAATAAATTCCAGTTTTGGGGTCCCCCTCGTGAATAATTGATTTTGTTTTACAAACCATTAATTGAACCCTCCTATTTAGAAATTGTTTTGGCCAGGTAAAGTGGCTCACACCTGTAATCTCAGCACTTTGGGAGGCCAAGGCGGGAGAATTGTTTGAGCCTAGGAGTTCAAGACCAGGTTAAGAGACCTTGTCTCTGCAAAAAAAACCAAACAAAAAACCAAAAAAAACAGCCAGGTGTGGTGGCACGTGTCTATAGTCCCTGCTACTCAGGAGGCTGAGATGAGAGGATCACCTGAGCCCAGGAGGTCGAGGCTGCAGTGAACTGTGATTGTGACACTGTACTCCAGCCTGGGTGACAGAGTGAGAACCCCCTGACTTAGAAAAAAGAAAAAAAAAAGGAAATTTTATGTTTTTCTTGGTAGGAACAGTGATTGATCTTTATTCATCTTAGACATTTTTGAATGCCTGACACAGTCTTACAACTGTTATTATTCAAAGGAAAAGAATATGTTGTCTTCCCTGGCATCAGGTCTAGATTTACACACAAGACAATTGTCATATGCTATTTTTTATGGTAAATTAAGGTGCTGAATCTTAAGAGAGGAGAAATTCTTAGAAAATTCATTTCCTCCCTAACAAATAACAAAACAATCCCCTCTTATATGTAAATAATATATCAATTATATGCAAAATGAATGTTGATCTATATTTTTGTTTCCATAGAATTGAAAACATATTGTTTCTGTGATAGATCACTGAGTATTATAGACTCTAATAAGTGGACCCTGAACATTTACCTTAATATTACAAGAAAGGGATTGGCAGTAGTGGGACACTGCCGTGGATAGGGGGGAAGCACATAACATTAATAAGGGTACCCAAACTTCAGCTGTACAATGATCATTTATTCACTTAAGCCTGAACTGTACCCCACATCTTTAAAATAAAAAAAAAGAAAACGTTGTTTAGGTATTATACTTGTTTATATACTTTCTGCATGCTTTTGAAAACAACAATGCTTTAGTTCAATGCCTGTTACTTGCTTTTCAGCTTCAGGCTGCTTTAATAATCCACTGAGAATCATAAATCCTCTGCCCTGAAAAGTACATAAACATACAGACTTTTGTGTATGTTAGTGTTCTTTTACCCTATACTTTATCTTGTATTAGCAGCTCAAAGACATTTTTTGAGTATTCATAACACGTTTTTTAGAGGAAGCTCAGAAGGTAAAAGTTTAAAAAGAAAAGAAGGATACTGGTAGTTGGGAGAGTGGGTATATGCCCTCAACCCCGCTGTGGGCCTCCGTTCTACCTCCCATTCCCCAGACCCCTTTTAATAACTGTCAATTTAAAAGCTTTCTAAATCTGATTTTTGCTTGGGGACAGGTTTAAGTGACACTTCTCCAGATGAAGGGTTAATAGAGGACTTGCCTATAGAAGACAAAGCAGTGAAGCAACTGGCAGAAGGATTGCTTTCTCATTACTTGCCAGATCTGCAGAGATCAAAACAAGCACTCCAGGAACTCACGTAAGCTAACAAAAAACACTTCTTTCCTCTCTGACATAGTCATAATTTACTGTATAATTGTATATGGTATTAAGGTATAATGTTGTATAATATTCAGTCATTCTTGAGTATTTCTATATTTTTAGTAATAGCAAATGGACATAGGGGAGTACATAGTAATCTATTTCTCTTTTTTTTTTCTTTTTTCAGCTGTTACAGAGGGGATCTGTAACAGGAAAAAAGAAAAAGAGAGAAAGAGAGAGTAAGAGAGAGACAGGAAATGGGAGAGAGGCGGGGAGAGAGTGACAGAGAGAGAGAAAGAGAGACCGAGAGGGTACATAGTAATCTAAATGTAAAAAGTGGACTATGTGCAGTGGCTCACGCCTATAATCCCAGCTCTTTGGGAGGCCAGGGCAGGAGAATTGCTTGAGTCCAGGAGTCTGAAACCAGCTTAGGCAACATAGCGAGACCTTGTTTCTACAAAAAATCAAAAAATTAACTGGGCATGATGGTATGCACCTGCAGTCCCAGCCACTTGGGAGTCTGGGGCAGAAGGATCGCCTGAGCCCAAGAGGTCGAGGCTGCAGTGAGCCGTGATCATGCTACTGCATTCCAGCCTGGGTAACAGGTGAGACTAACTAGATAAATAAATGTAAAAAGTGAAATTTCAGAATACTCCTGAAGTGTTTGATCTTTTGTAAGAAGTACCCCTAAATCTTACCTTAGACTCTGATTTAGATAAGATTGCTTTAGTTCAGTGACTGTTACCCACTTTTCAGCCTCAGATCCTTTGAATAATTCCTTGAAAACTATAACTTCTCTGCTTATTTTATTATTATTTTATGTATTATTTTAAGTGTTGCCTATTGGGGATTGATACAAGGTGGATATACACCTGTTTCTGAGTAGAGTTGAAAAATTGCCTCCGTGAAAATCACACTTGTTTTCAGTTACTTGTCCAAATGAATTGCCAGAGATCCTTTTTTTTCCCTCCCCTGGAGTTGTCACCCAGACTGAGTGCAGTGGCTTGGTCATGGCTCATCACAGCTTCGACCTCTTGGGCTCAGGCAATCCTCCCTCATCAGCCTCCTGAGTAGCTGGGACTTCAGGTACATGCCACCATACCTAGCTAATTTTTTGATTTTTTTTGTAGAGATGAGGTCTTGCTATGTGGCCTATGTTGTTCTTGAACTACTAGGCTCAAGCAATCCTTCTGCCTTGGCCTTCCAAAGTGCTGGGATTGTAGGTGTGAACCATCATACCTGGCCTGCCAGAGATTCTTATATATCTTTTTTGAGATGACTTGTTTGATTCCCATTAAATAATTCTACTAGTTAAATAAAGGATTGGAAGAGATGTTAAGAGAACAGGATACGGTAGGACAGAACCCCATATAGTGGGATCAGTATACATAAATATACACTCTGATTTCTTTAGCTCCCATCCAGAGACAAGAGACTTAGCTTCTGCTTTCTTCTGGGTCATGACCTCTCTGGATTGCCCAGGCTGGCCTGTCTGTCATTTCTTTCTCTGGTGATCAGTGTTAAACAGGCTATGAACTGCTGCTCTAAGACCTACCCTTTGAAAACTTACTTCAGAAACCTTTATTAGGGTAAAAGGAGAGGAACAATCAACAACTATGCCTATTTTGTAGTTGTTAGTAAGTAATGCTATAATCTTTGGCGTTAAGGTGCTAAATCAGTATAAAAGTGGTACTGAGAGTTCTAAGACTACATGAAGTTAGGAAGTTGGCAACATAATCTGTTTTCTGCTAGTCCCAAGCAAGATTTTAAAAAAACCCCTACCCCATGATATGCCTTGTATTTTGATGAAAATCAGTCCTTGTTTCAAAAAAGTCAAAGATTTTGTAGGGGAGTTTGGATGAGATGTAACAGACTGGAGGAAGGTAAAGAACTCTGCAAGCAAAATGTATCTAGAATAATACTTTACTTGCAGGCAGTTGGGAATCAAGGTTTAGTTGCAGAATTTATTGGTGATATTTTCTAAAATTTAGTGTTTTGGATAACCCTACTTATCTTCCTAGGCACCCAGACAATGATGAGGTAGTAAACTCTGCTGTTGTTTACTACTGAATGTACCACTTGCCCAGGATTTTATTGAACATTTCTCAGTCTTCATACCAACCTTATGATGTATCTAATATTATCCTAGTTTACAGTTGAGGAAAAGAAAAGTTAATCAACTTAAAAAGATTACACAAATAGTGATAGAATTAACTACTGAATATGATGAATTAGTAGTTATTATACGTCTTGAGTGTTAGGAGATGCAGATTTCAGAGAAAGGAAAAAGAAATGTTTCCTAGTAGCTACTTCTTTCCCCCATCTCTCCATAAATTTCACTGTTGATAAAGATGTGGGGGAAATTGTATTGCCCTGAGAGGTGCCTGGGTTCTAGATCTGGCTATATCAGACCTTTAGTAAGGTGCTTCACCATAATAGAAACAAAGTCCACAGAGTTAAAGGAGAAGGTAGTAGGTAGAAATTAAGTTTATTTTGTAGCCAACAATGAGTAAGGAAGACCAAGAATAAAATTTAGCTTTATATGTAAGAAAGGTTATAAATATTCTTTTATATGTATTTGTCATTTTAAGAACATTAGAAAGTACAAAAAGGAGGTCTGGAATCCAGGCCCCTGTATTCACTGGCCTCCATTGAGCTCCCTTTGAGATAACCCAGGCTTAGATTATCTTCCAAGGAAATACTTTTTTCTCAGAGAGGATCACTCCTCAGACACTGCATCAAGGCTTCATAAATGTATTTACCACAGATTACACAAAGCTTCAAGAGAATTTAAGTTTAGTAATCTTTTCTGCCTTGCTATATTACAGCTAAACATTCTTTGGTATGTTCTTCGAGAGTGGCGAGACTTATTGGGAAAGCACTGTACTTACAATTACATTTTAATTATAAAGCATACAGATCAGGACTAGCCAAATAAAGAGACACATAGGGCGAGGTCTGTGAGGGTCCGAAACTCAGAGCTTCTGTGTCTTCTCCCAGTGAAATTCAAGTGTGTTACCCTCCTAGCCATCTGCGTGTTACCGTCCTAGCACATTAATGTGTTCATTAACCAAGAAGCTCCACTGTTGTTTTGGTATCTAGAGTTTTTATTAGGATTTTATTAGTTAGGTATGATTGATTGAATAATTAGCCACATAATTGAACTCATTCCAGCCTGATCACCTCCTTGGAGGTTGGGCTGATATCACATGGCTTAAAGCACCAACCCTCTAGTCACTTGGTTGGACTTTCTGGCATGACCACTCCCTATCCTGAAGCTCTAGGGACCTACCATGAGTCACCTCTTTAGCATAAACTCAGGTGGGGTCCAAGGAGCACACAGATAGCAAGACTTCTATCACTTGGGAGATTGCAAGGATAAAAATTGTGTTATTTTCTTATTGTTGAGTTTTAAGAGTTTTTTGTATTTTTTTATACAGGTTTTTTATGCATTTCAACCATCTTTTTTCAAAGTCTGTGGCTTGTCTTCATTATCTTAACAGTGTCTTTTGCAGAGCAGAAGTTTTTAATTTTAATAAATTCATTAATAAATAAACAAGAGACAGTTTAATCTGTTTTTTCTTTCATGGATTGTGCTTTGGTTTTGCATTAAAAAACTCATCATCAAATCAAGGTCACCTAGATTTTCTCCTCTGTTTTCTTCTAGAAGTTTTAGAGGTTTGCATTTTACATTTACATCTGTGATCCATTTTGAGTTAATTTTTGCGGAGGGTGTAAAGTCTGGGTCTAGGTTCACTTTTTTGTGCATGGACATCTAATTGCTCCAGTGCCATTTGTTGAAAAGACTATCCTTTCTCCACTTTATTGTCTTTGCTTGTTTGACAGAGAGAATTGACTATATTTGTGTAGGTTTATTTAAGGGCTTTCTATTCTGTTCCATTGATCAGTGTGTCTGCACTTTTGCCAATACCTGGCTGCCTTGATTTTTGTAGCTTTATAGTAATTATAGTAAGTCTTGAAATATTCTTCAGTAGTGTGTTGGCTTTTTTCTAAGACTTTGCCTTTCCATATGAAATTTAGAACAGTTTGTTGAGATCTACACAAAAGCTTGCTAAGATTTGATTGGGATTATACTTAATCTATAGGACAAGTTGGGAAGAATTTACATTTTAAAAATATTGAGTCTTTTGCTGGGTGCGGTGGCTCATGCCTGTACTCCCAGCACTTTTGGAGGTGGAGGGGAGAGGACTGCCTGAACCCAGGGGTTCAAGACCAACCTGGGCAACTGGGAAGACCTCATCTCTACAATAAATAAAAAAATTAGCTGGGTCTGGTGGCTCCAGCTACTTGAAAAGGTTGAGGTGGAAGGATCACCCGAGCCCAGCAGGTCATGGCTACAGTGGCCATGAGTGTGCCACTGTACTCCAGCCTGGGTGACAGTAAGACTCTGACCAAAAAAAAGAAAAGAAAAAGAAAAATGGAGTCTTTTGATCTAAGTACTGGGAATATTGCTCCATTATTTAAATCTTATTGATTTTTTAATAGCGTTTTGTAGTTTTTGCATATATATCTTATACATGTTTTGTTAGATTTATGCCAAAGTATTTCATTGAAGAGGGGAGTTATTATAAATGATAATTGTTTGTTTGTTTTTTTTGAGTTGGAGTCTCATTCTGTCGCCCAGACTGGAGTGCAGTGGCTGCTCCCAGCCACTGCAACCTCGACCTG